AAAAATACATTTCACCAGATTATCATCGACTACCTCTTTTCTACACCAATAAATCAGAAAAATGTATCCCTAATCTTTACATCTTTCTAATAACTTATTCCTTATGAATTGAAGTGAATGTTATTTTTCGTTTACAGATTAAAACTAGCGCGAAAAAAAAACAGTCATGGAGACATAAATATGTATGACAGAATTGATAACGGTAGTTATTTGTTACAATCATAATTTATCACAAGCTAATTAAACATTCAGGGAGATGGAATCATACATAAATTTATTCCTGATTTGAAATATTAGAGGTAATCGTTCTGTTACTTAGCAACATATTTGGATAAACAATAAGATCTCTGTATGATTTATAATTTATTCATAAAGTTAAATAAGTATTGGGAATATGAAATCATCTTTAATCGATTTTACCATATTGATGTCAAACTAGTTTCTGTCAATTACTAAATGATTTAGTTTCTATTAACCAAATTAATTAACATACATAACAAGTATGGTTATTTCCTAAATAGTTTATATGAAATGGTTAGAAACATCCCTATACAATAACGTAACAATCGTCATTTATTATGAATCGACTGAAATTACATTTAATAGCAATATAATCGCCTGTTCCATAAATTAGTCATATAGAGTCAGCGGTTGCTTTCTTCTGAATACAGAAAAGATTGTTTTCAGTGGTTTATCTATCCACTATCAATCTAGAATGAAAAGTTATAGATCAACCATTTACGTACAAATTGTGTAACCTAAAAATTAAAAATTATTAGGATTACAAAACAAACCAATAAAAAGTAATAGGAACAAATTTAATGAATTAGCATACTGATACAAAATCTTTTCATCATTGATTGATAATTTTGTGAACCATGAAGAAATCTGAAATAATGAACAGTGGTTTCGTTCTTGTTTGATACTCTTCACAAATGTGCACCCATAATCTTGCACAATACTGAATTTATGACCTCCAGACTATATCGTCACCAGGAGCTATTTAGATATTGTCAGTATCCACTGGTCGATATCTTTAAGCTCAATATTTTAAGTGTACCACTCTACAATTATTCCATGAAAACGACCTCCGATACTTCAACTTTTGACTCAAGTTAAATTATATTAAACTGTGATATTTATGATCTACTGATGCCCTTTCATCTTAGTTGACTTCACTAGCCACAGTTTTTCATTGTAACTTTAGGAAATCAATATCTATAACTTGTAGCCAAATGGAATTAACTCCAAAAAATCACACCAGTAAATATTTTTTCAACAGTCTATTCGTTAATGTGTCACAAAGACAAAAACTGTTATAATCTGTGATAGGTTGTAAGGTAAATCTCTTTAATGATATGTATACAAGAATATTGCCTGACAATCAATTACATCAGAAACATAATAAGATATCAAAAGTCAGGCTTCAAAATCCTTATGATTATGCATAAAAAATGTAAGACCATAATGGACCATAAATAATGAATCCTGATATGTACTAAACCAAGAAACATATGGTATAAAACTAAGTATATTTATGATTATTAACAGTTGTTTATGAACAGCAAAACAATATACAGGTAATTGGCGAGTTAAATTAAAACTTACAATTATAGAAATAAATTAATACCATGACTCAACTGTTTAGGAACATACATTAAAGATATGCATAGGGAATTTCAGAGGATATCTCTCTAGCCATCTTAACATATTGGTCTACATAACGCTGAAAAATGAATCATGAATCTTGTTCTATACTTGCTGGAACACAAAGAGAATCTGGTCATATTGTATTACAATGAGGTAGCTTTCATAAAGTATAAAAACAGGCCGATATCCAATAAAAATGGTTGACTATTATTCAAAATGTTTATTGGTTTAGAGAGCCAAAAAAAAGAAGATTCATAATGCAACTTAGCTTCACTGTCTTACCCTTCAACCTTATAGAAATATTTTGGCTCTGTAAAAACTAGATTTTGTTATCAAATATCTGGAATAAATGACTAAAGTTTACACTCTTATTGAATTTATGTTACTGAACAGTATATTATTCATTGTTTCCGCTATCATGAAGCCGTTCACGATATCAAAATTTACAACCTCCTACAGAGAATCATATTTCTGTATGTATCAATTTAAATTTACCCCAAGGGAAATGTGGTAGATTTAATCTGTAAATGAGAACTTTCCACGGATATAAAACGTTTAAACATGGTAATTCGATAATTAGAATGAACCGTTAGTAAACTCATGACTAGCCCTAGTTACGAACAATAAATAGCCAAATTTAAATCTTTAAAATAAATTGAACGAAAAGGGAGACTGTTAAATCACAATAGTTTTTTCTAGCTGATGACCTTTAGATTACAACTGATCAAGCAGGCAACATTAATAAAGTTTCTTTCCGCAGACGATTAATTATTTAGTAGCATCTTACAAAAATGATTAAAAGTCAAGTTCAAAATATTAGTCTTAGTAAGATTCTCAACAATAAATTATCAAACATCTACTCTTTTTTTACCAAATGTTAACAAATACTATGTGCATACAAATAGTGTAACCAATATAGATTTTTTTGGACCGAAATCGTCATAATAACTTGAAGGTGTATATCAAATAGAAGAGTATGAGAGGGTTAGGGAAATAAATATAAATTATGCTTTTTCCTAAACACGCACATGTACATAATCAAAATAATTTAAAATATTCCCAGTCATTTCTTTCTAAAATCGGGAACAACGATAATAATAAAAGTGAAAACCTACAAGAAATATCACTCTATCGTCACGCTTACGATTATAACTCATGTATAAAGACATTACTACATACATTATCACTATCATCATTATTATCATGATAAATTTGAGAGCATGTTTGAGAAATCTCATCTACGTACGTAAGTTAGCAGTAACACCCTTAGTTGCACGACATTACATTTACTAATTATGGTAGTCGTGGTAATGCTGGATACTTTAAATAATATATTAAATTATTGTTCTATACAGTGTACATTGATTAAAATATGTGGTTTTATACATAAATATTTACACAGCTGCATAATTATTCTAATAAGATATCTTAATAAATTTACATAAACAGTGCTTTTTATCCCTAAAATCACTTGAAAAATAAGTATAATTATTCATTTTCACCTTACTCTTAGAGGCATATCCTTCTAACACTATGGCATCAATGCAATAAAATGCTTTTATTGTCTTAGATGTAACGGGTAACTTACTATGAAGATAATTATCAAAATAAACAAGCCTATTTATTAAACTATTAAAACTGCTTAAATCTTGTGCAAAATTTACTAACATTCAAATTTAAATAAACATAGAATTTACTATTAGACAACTAAGATTGGATCAATTTTTTTCATAAATCCACAACTTCAGCAGGTTTATTTAGAAACTATGAAATGATTTTTCAACTATTAGTGATTTACCAATATCAATGACTTTTGATTAATTTATAACTTCCGAACTTCTCAACAACAAAAAGAATAAACGTAACCTCAGGCATTTGTAAAACAACATTCATATATCTATAAATGACAATTTATAAATAATTAGACAATAAATAAGGCATTCTCTGTCAATTCTTATGTTGTTCGCTACAATTACGCGGGTTGTATCCTTTATTTACATGAAACCTAATCTCTCAAACATCATTTTTTCTCATAAAATAACTAGATAAATTGTTTAATAATTTCAAAGAGGAAGAATGTATTTGAAAACTGCTGTTTGATGTTTGATGACATTTCTTTGAAAAAGGATAGTGGATGTGCACTGCTGAGGAGTCCCATACTAGGACAAAATGGCCGTCCAGTGCTTTCTAGTCTTCCATAGTGATCTAGCTTTAATTGACTCATGAATTCGACTATTAAATTGATAATAATTTGATTGTTCAATGTATATGCTATAATCTCTTTCTTACGGTTATGACGCAGCTATTCCTATTGTTTAGTATTCTCGGACACCGATTCACTCGACAAGTCCCCAAATCAAAACACGGTTGAACAGGAAAGAGATTATATTCCAAATAACAAGGTTAAATGGAAGTAAGATGCCAGTAAGAAGCACTATAGGGAAAAACGTCAGTATATTTATAGTTTTTTACATGAGAAGGTTCTAGAATGTTCTCCAAGTATTTGCTATCACTGATTGGATAAGAATTAGCCAATCAGCGTGCACCAAAGCGATCGTGCATTGAGCACGCTTTAATCCAGTCTATGTCCCACTAACAGTATACTACAAATTTTAAATTAGTGTGAAGTGTACCAATGATTTTGAGCACCCATAATATGGATCAATAATATACTTTTATTTTCCTTAATACAAATTTTATGGAATTCAGTTTCATTTACGAATTTCTATTTAGATACGAATATAATCTAAATAGGTGTGTTTTCTTACTGTTGTTAGTAGTTTGTGCTTAAACTTCAGAAACAGATCATTACAATGCGTTGTGCAATATTCAAAATGAAACTTAAATAGAATACTGGTATCAAACAACTTGACCTTCAATACTATCGATATAATGATTTCTTGAAAATTATTGATAAAAAACGAGATTTAAACACTATTTCAAAAAATAATTACACCTTATTGAATAGTTGAAGATACTGTGCAATTCAGAAATAAATTTCATCACTAGCTGATGTCAGTTAATGGATTGTGATGAATTACAGTGAGATTCAATTGATTTATTTTTACATCTCATGTATATGTATAGATGCATCAGTAACTGGGTATGTATAGTTGGCAGAATTTACTTAGTTTTTATAAACAAAACAACACATCATAAGTTACTGACTACATGTTTATTGACTTTTATGAATAGCCAATCTACAAACGTCAACACATTATTTGACGATCTGTATTTAAATGCATAAACATTCTGTGCTCTTTAGTGAATCACTTTGTTTTGGTTCTCTTAATAACTTTAGATTTATCGCTATCAAACTATTTATTATGTATTTATCTTCTTAATTCAAGGAAATCCTTTTGTATCTCTTGGATCATTTTAAACGACTGACAAATAATTGTGAAGTGAATAAAATGGATACACAAAATCTAGCAACTTGTCTGGCTCCTATCCTATTCTATCCTTCACCAAGTTCTGCGAGGAATCTTGATCCAAATATCTTGGAACCTAGAAAAATGGCCGAAATATTTAAATTTATTTTAGAAATCTGGCCAGATGACCGTTCAAAGTCATATAAATATAATCCTGCAGAATCTTGGACTTCACCCTATTCTTCAAATCCTCCACTGCCAGAAGATCAACATCCAACTGGATTTCACCCCCAACAACAACATCATCATCACCATCCTAAACATCGATACGATCAATCCAGTCATCGAGCATCAAGTGCCATTAGATCGACAATATCCGGACCAGCTGGAACTGGACTGGGCTATCGATCCCCACACACGGTACAAAGATCTGGCATTTTAGCCAGTAAGGCCGAATCAGGTAACTTTTTAGTCCTCCTTAGTGCTTTAGGAAAAATAAGCTGTTTTAGACAATTAAGCTTATTTAAATTGGGTTGTGACTGTCGTTGTGGATTTTTAGTTTCATTTCTAACATTCGATGGATCTGAATTCCCGAAAATGTTAGTTATTTGGCAGAGTGTGACCTCTGTGTTTTATGTGAAACAGTTTGTCTGTGACTACAAGTAACCGAGTAAGCAGTATTTACACTCAACATTTATCTAACATCGCAGTTGGCTAATAACTTTTAAAAGACAGAAAGTCACCATCAAGTAGAATAATTACTACAAAGTTACTGTTGTGAGTGGAAATACAAAAAACTTTGAATTTTGTGCGAACAAAGTGTGTATTATTTGAATACGTGACATCCAAAGAGCTTAATATTTGTACAATCACTAGTGTCCAACCTTTTGTCAATACATACTCATTGGACTAGCATCTTTTAATAATTGAAGCAATAATATAACACTATTGAGAGATTTGTGGAGATTGTATTATTTTCGCAGTTGAAATCACGAACTGATCTTATCTAGACAACCATTAAAAACCTCGAAACACTGGAAGCACAAATCTTCCATACCAACAATAACCACGTGTTCACTAGTTGCTAGTTTTAAGATGTAACTCCTGAAGTTCTAATAAGAAGCCGTCACCAATGGACTTTAATCTGTATCGGGTATGAGACAGTTACCCATCGTAGGCAGTGGATGATGGGCTGAGCAAGATCACGGATTGTTCATAGTTAGACATTGAAACTATTGGATGACGACTAATTGATTTTGAGATGAAGCGGTAGCGTTTGATTCCTGCATGTGAGGTCGTGGATGTGCACCCCTGAGGAGTCCCATGCCAAGACGAGACGGCCACCCAGTGTTTCGAAGTTTTTAATGGTAGTCTAACTAAGATCAGTTAATGATTTTAACTGTGAAAATACTACTTCTTATTATCGAGTAGTCAACTTATGAGTAGAATTTTTTACTGCTTTTTGGCCATTCTTAAACATAACAATAACAATATTTACAAACCAAACCAATAAACGTTCTGAGAAATAAATGATTCATATTTTGAGAATTCGAATGTAATACTTCCTGTTCAATACTAAGGCATATGATTTGCTTAAATACTCATCTTAAATGATCAGTATAGGGGTTGTGGAGATTATTAAGTTTTAGATTGAGAACATGAACCGATTGATGTTAGGCCACCGTTGAAAACCTGGAAGCACTGCTGAGGAGTCCCACGATAGGACGAAACGGCCGACCAGGGCTTCCAAGTTCTCACTAGTGGTCTAAAATCTTTAATGAACCCACTGACGAATTATGATAACCCATTATGTCAGGTTCACTTAGTGTTGGTTATCTATATTTCTATTAACTATTTCATGTAGATTTTCATCGGGTAAATTGTTTATAAACTGGTAATAACAACACTCAAAAGTGAAACATATATATGTACTAATCATATCATCATGAACAGATCAATTAGGATATGTAGGCAAGTTTACAAATATCAAGTTCCGTACTATGAATGTTTTACCGAAAAGCATTTAATGTATTTCAACAGATTCGTTTGAAATAAGATTCAGGATTATACAATCCAATACCATAAACTGAACAGAAAATTAGATCATTCCTGGTGATATCTATTTGAAGTAAAAGTAACAGTTTTGATCATTTCATCATAAATTACAAGATGATTTTTAAAAAAATATTCAGTGTTTTCTTGAAATTACCAGAAAGAAAAATGCCCCTTCCCCCCCCCCCAAAAAAAATCAAGTGTTTGAATAAAATAACATATCATCACTCTTGATTACATTTACAAGAATTTGGTATATAATTTACAAGAAAAAGCTTTTAAATTAGGTGTTAAGTGATGAAATTGATGTGCTTTTGGTAAATCGTTAAATAAAATGATTCCCGAAATGAATTTTCGTACACTATGTAGCTTTTGAAGCCAAAGGAAGAACAAGCTATATCAATAGTTTGATACTTAGACATTTAACAATATGATGAAAAGTTCAAATGATTAACCCGATTCTCGTCAGTTCTTAATATTATTCTCATGTTACCTATTTATGACTAAAGAGCTAGAAAATCATTCCTTACATTCTTTAGTTGTACTACGCATTCGTAAGCCAAGTTCATTTATCTGTTTTAGTTCATTTGCTATTTCCGTTTAACTGATTTAACTAACCAGTTATGTAAAACTATCGTATCTTCTGTTTCTACATGTTCCTATGCAGCCAAAGTGATTTATCATACTATGTAGCATTTAAGTTTACATCTCTGTACCACAATCCAGTCTTTTATTCGCTTTTAATGCTATGGTTTCTGTCTAGCTAAAATAAATGTAACCCTGTATCGTTTATCACCGTATTTACAGACGTAACGCATGAAATATTTAGATTACGATTTAATTCTTAATGGATTTAATTTTTGATTAGCCTAACAGTATAAGACCATTAACCATAAGGAAATTTGTATTGTATTATTGTATTCTGTGTTGATAGAATGATTTTTCCTTTGATATTAAGTGACAGTGCTTAACAAACTACTGATAAATTTGTAATAGTGATTACTGTATTTGTTGTTACGCTCCTCTTTGTAGACAAATCAGATTACGCAGGAATAGGTAGAAGTGGAACTGTGAAATACGGAAATGGATCTAATGGTTCATCAAGACAAGCAGTTGGTCAAGAAGGACATCGGAGAACTAGTAGAGATCCTCGACAAACTGTCAGTTTTGGTAATGCAAAAACTATACGGACACATTCAGCTCAAAGAAAAACGTTATCTCAAACAGACATAACTTTGGGTAGCGCCAGAGAGTATACAGTAGGCTTTGATTTTCGAGACCAACAGGTGATGCTTCCAAGTGATGAATCAAACATCCGTGTACATCCACGTTTTCAAGATATACCAACAACCGGATCTACCGGAACAGATAGTGGGACACGCTCAAGCTTATCAGTTGGTTCAAGACAACCTTGTCCTCCATCACATGCTAGCTCATCAGTTGATAGAAGTGAGCTCAACAGAAGCTCTAGCCAGGAACGTCAGAATTACGGGCGAACTCAAAGATTCTCTAGACGTTCACATCCATTTAGTTAACCCTTCCCCATTCCAGTAATATTCAAAAACATGTTCGAATTAAATTTCATTTAAGACGAAACATGCCAACCCTTGACTATTTTCATATAACCCAAATCCCTCCAATCAATAAAGAACCTCAAATATTGGAAAACCTAATCTACATTTTACTGGAATGTAATATCTCTTCCTCTCAGAAGATGTACACAAAATGTATTCAGTTAAATTTTGTTTATCCCGCAAATATTCCTTCCTAACTTTTCCTTTTTAAGTAACTCAATATATATAAAAGTAATAATGCTGAACAAGGAGTTAGATTAACTAAATTAAACTGGTATGTCCAAACTAAAATCGATAAAGGACAAGTGCATTTATTGATTTCGTAAATAATCTTAATACTATAATCGTGAAATATTGTCAAAAATTATTTTTATTACTTCACCGTCATGATACTATTATCATCTTCTCATACTAAATCCTGTTCTCTTACTACCTATTACATTAAATCATCTTCATTTTTTACTCACCAATAAAATTCTATTGTTTATAAAAATGTAGACAATACGTATATCCCTTATCTGTCAATGGTTATATGTCTTTTTGGTCTTTGTTAAATTTCCAGTTCACTTCTATGACGTGTTTCCTAATCATTGTTTGTTTCTGTTGTTACTTGATTTGGCTTTGATTCTTCAAAAGTAAATATTGTTTAAATGTGAATATGAAATACCACTACCCAAATGGAAAATTAACACTTAGACCTTCTATTTGAAAAAAGATCTGTAACTGATTGTCAACACCACCACTATCATCATTGTGATTTCCATGTTATGCTTGTTAAAATATGGCTTTTATTCATTTTTACGAAACACAATGATATACATATGTGCATAAAATTCATGTATGCTTTATGTAGACTGAGACAACTCAGTAATCAACATTTTATTTTGCTTCGGTGATTTATTTCAATGATTTACGATATATGATTCACAAATTTATTAAGTAATCGTCTATTCTTATTTGTTGGCTGGACCAGCAATACTTCTTCAGTGCTACGCTCATGGTACAACTTTCATACATTCACATAAATACATTGAACTATATATTCTCACTTTTGGTATCGCATTGATAATCTAAATAATGATGTAGATCAGATTGGTTTTATAAATCGCACAAATATACCATTTATACGCACAAGTATATCAAAGATTTCAATGAACCAGGATAGAATTGTATATGTCCTACATGTATACAAACTTACAAATATTTGCAAAACCTGCGTAGTAATACCATGAGAATAACTAAGTATAGATAAATAAAATCATATATGTACTGTTACTATAAGCACTCCTACTCATCTCTTGATAGTTTGAATATTGAAAAAAAACATTTCCAAATACAAAAGAACAGACGTGTTAACATACATTTACACCCAGTCACTTCCTTCTCTTTCGATTTTTTTTTCTTGCTTGCTATAATCAATTCAGCTGTAATTTCAAGTTGACAACAACAACAAAAAATACGTATTTATTTATATCTTAATAATTTAGACGATAGAGATTAAATTTTATTTGACAATGTTTACATTTATTACTCTCATTATGTTGTTATCTATAAATATTGTTATTATTACAAATAATGTAACATGAATAACAATAGTGACAATATTCATAATGTTTAGATATCATGTGTGATTTATGAATAAACTACAGGTTGTACTTTCAATTTATTCTAAATCTGTGGAAACTACCTATACAATTTGTAATCAATAAAATAAATCAGTGATAATTACTATTATAATTATAATAATAAGAATTTCTCTTCTCAATTTTAAACTATTCGATGAATTTATTAATGGTTAAATGGTCAGGAAGTCAATGAAGACGCATGAAGGATAAATAAATTATCAATTTTTTACGATTTTTATTTGTGATTTAATGATATCTAGTGGGCAAGTGAATTATTGATTGTTATCTTTTTTATACTACTAATAACAGGTAAGTAGTAAGATGATCATAGTAATACATGTCCCAATTTTTTATGTATGGAAAACGAGCATTTATTCAAGATTTGAGATAGCTTCCAAACAATTGTTTCATTTATTGACTGACGATAACTGCTTAATGTGTTGATTTTTAAATAATTTTATTTATGTAAAATGTACATTATTAAATTACGATCGGGCCTAGTCATATTCCCAGAATTATAGATTAATTGCTCCAACTTTTATTCTTACCTTCAGATTATCTGTAATAAGTGGCCTAAACAAAGAATTCTAACTTCTTTGATGTTTTTATCAATCTGTTTAGTCTGAAGAAATGAAATGAAAAGTCTCCATATTAAGAATTGTTTATTCAGCACAATACAATGTATTGAGTAAAATTATTATTTAATAGTGTATACCTTTTTTAAATAAAATGAGTGAACGGTAAAATTAATTTCAGCTTCACGTTCCCGACTACGCCATTTGAAAATATAGTAGTAAGTGATTGTTTTTAAATTGTAAATATTCTAATAAGTGAACTATATGAAGTGTACCTACAGTTAACAGAGAACTTTCAGTGAAATGGTTTTCATACCATCAAAAAAGCAATCCCGGAAATCAAGAAGCAGATCGTCCCACCATATGTTTAAAATACCTCAAAAACCGCTTCAAGGATTTTAAAGTTTCTTCGAATCAACTTTGCCTACAAACCAACATAATCATTTCACTTCATTATATGCAAGTCGAAAGACACATCAGAAAAAGGATAAAAATACAAAATCATCGACAAAATAAATCGCACCAACCAAGAAGAATATTACTTTGTACAATATGTACATCCCTTTCACCTACTCATGAGTTACCACAGATTGACAATCAGACTAAACGATATGCTGTTACGGATTCAATTCATTTTGACAACTATAAACATAAATAATGGATCTGGGAAGTTCCAAGTATACCAGAAAACTTTTAGAATCATAACGTTCAGGTCAATTAATAATCAGTAGATAATAACCTACACTAAATCTGTGATCCCATATGAAGATGTCAGTCAACCACAATGCTAGAGGTCAATCATCAAAGATAGCCATTGTCAATACAGTGAGAAATATATAAAAATAAATCTATGGAGATAATTAACAAAATTATATAGTAACTCTGCAATAACTGGAAGTCTCACTTCTGCATAAAGCAGGTGTTGGAAATGCTGTTTAGAATGACAGTGGAGCTTCAAAATTAAATCATATAGTTTATAAAACACAGTACTACTAAAAGATATTAATAATTTCTTTTCCAATTTCACAATGAGTAAATATAGCCGTTTTAAATGAACTGGTTAATCGTACCGCAGACTTGGTTGATTTATCTCACTCATTAGAGTCAAGGAGCCTATACTGATCTATTTATTTAAGCCTTATTTACTTAAAAGCAAATCTTCAGTAAAAAATGACTTTGTTTATTAAAGTAATTCTTCGCAACTTTATCAACTGACTGGTATATTTGGTGAAGTTTTCGAAATTTCCGAATGTAAACTTTACGTTACTATACACGTATTTGACTTTGAGTATAATGGTGCTTTAACTTAATCGACCCTGAACAGTTCACATATGGAGATGTATTTACATCAAAAAACACTATTTTACATAATTCAGTTTACAATATATTGGCTGTTGACTGATTGTGTTAAACTAATTTAAAATGCTTGTTCAAGATCGAAATCTCATGGTCAACATTTGGTTGATTCGGATTCAGTCCCAACTCCAATAATTTGACCCCTCGAACAATATCTGATCATGTTTGATTGCAAGAGAACCCAGTATGTTTTCAACATACTTTAATTAATCAGAAATGCTAAGTTTGAGCATACACTACCATCAAACTAAAGTATTTTCTGATCATGCCAAAGCTTATGGAACACTATGCAGTTAGCTTCTCCAAATTAGAATCAGTTATAATCCATCTGCTTATATACGTTTTGAATGGTTCCTACGAGTCATCAGTACCACTTAATTTTCAGAGTTTAATGTATCTTGATTTTTTAAATGTATAGATCGAACAAATTTGTCTAGGTGAAATTCACTGAAATCCTAGCATACGGTGTTGTGTTCAGAAAAGTTCAAGTTTATTCAGATCAGCAATGTACATGAAATTCTTACTTTAGTAATGTTAATTTCCGTAACGAAACCGTTGTTCAGCGAAAACAAAATCAACTAAACAAATAAGATTAATGTTTGCTACAGAATATTAATTCTTTGACTACAATTATCATATCGTAACTCTTAATTATTGCTCCAAAAGTTGGATTTAAATACAGTCCCTTGGTTTATTTCAATCATTATGTACATCCAGTAAAATTTAATGTTTTCTTAGACTATATGTTAAACCAAAGTCAATGCAACTAGTCATACTTTTATTTCTTTTATTTATCTAAAAAATAATGATTAAGTGTATCATGAATTGAAAGTTCATTTAAACTACCACTAATAAAACAGTAAATATTAAGTAATTCTGTACTCATTATAGTGGTTAGCCCTTTCAGAGCTTAGTCAACTGGCTTGTTATAAACTAAACTACAAAATACTTCATGTGACTCATTAAAAGAGAACTGATATATAAAATCAAATTGTTCTGCGAAAATGTTGAAAACTTTATCAAAAATCTATTTGATCCGGTGCATGAAGATTTTATCTTTTAAAGTCATAGTGACCTACAACCAATAACTTTAGACGCAAAATTCAAACAAATCATGGATAACCAAGTCTTAAGAAGCTATTGGCTGAGTAAATTAGCAATGACTAATCAATGAAATTTATTTCACTTTCTCTTGCTGTTTTCTTTTTACTATCACCATAGAATGATGACATTATTCATATACACTTTCAGTATGTCTATAGCCTATATCCTCCTCAATTTACTTCCGAACATACAACTGAAGGATTTCTCATTTATTGAAGTGAACTTACCTCCTATAAAAAAATTATCAAATATATACATCATATTTCAAAAACTGTTCGTATACGCCAACATTTACATATAGTCAGTTTTAGAAAATTTGACCTGAATAAATTAGAAAAATCATGTAGGATCTAACGCTTTTATGCTCTGTGCTTTACATTGCGTTAATCAAATTCTAAGCAGATACAAACGTCGGTATAATGACGTTATTTGTCAAGGAATGTAGTATCATTTTAAAAATGCAGATACAACATATAATAACTATTCAGGAAATAAATAAATAATCGCAAGAGCACTGGAATTAATTTTAATGTATGGGTATTAATTTAGATGTGATACAAACGAACAGGAATATTTATGCTAAGTATAAATTATTCAGGCATTAGAAATTTACTAAAAGATTAGAATATGATTACTCGGGGTCGACTGCAATGCAATACATAGATTTCCCGAAAACATTAGACAAATTAATACTCTACTTGATGATGTATAGATATTTTGCTTTGTTATCTTGATAAAATTGATTTCTCTCTTTACATAAAAGTGTTTGATAATAAATGTCATGATTTATAACACGTTACCCAATACAAATTATTTTTGTTAATCTCAGATAAAAACCTACTTGTGTATCATACGGTACATGATTGACAAATCATTAAAGGAATCTCGAAAATTATTTTAAAGATTAAAATATGGACAAGTAGTAAAACGTAGAGATATAACTGTTCTTGTTAACTAATGAGATAGTCATTTACAGTTATTTTTGCTAATTACAGAACATTATAAGTGAATCATTTCTATTAACTTGGCATAGTTATCCTAAAATAACCATAAACTGGGTTATTCGTTTGATTATTATTCAAATCACGGCTTTCATCTTTATGTGAAACCACAAAAATGTGAACCTTATATTTCACACTATCGTAATTAATCGTAAATTTGTATACTCCTATAATGTTAGTTTTTAGTACTAATAAATATTTCAGATTCACTTCCGTTCAACGTGCACTACATGTGAATTAATTTAGTGTTCTTATGAATGTTTTCGTTACCTAATGAGTATCCGGCAACTTCATCAGTAGATTACACAGTTCCACTTAGTTCGTAATTATCTGACAGATAACCAATGTAGCCGAATATGGGATGTAAATTATGATTACGACTGTTAAAATATGCATATGCGCACTCATATTTGAGTATATTTTACCCCTTCTTAATTTGTGAAACCTGATTCGTAGTACATACATACTATTCACAAGTATTCATGATGTTTTTCACTCCTCACTTGTTGATTAGATAGTAATCGCTAATGGAAGATCTTAGAAGATCTGCTGATTGGCATGCATGTATTTTAGACACAAATATTAATAACTGACTGGATGGTGTGTCATTATTTACAGTATAATCTTGATAGATAAGCTGGTAACTCGGGTCGCAGCTATTTTCAGAAGGGTTAACCTGGAGAGGATCTACTGCATGTAATTGGCAGTTGGTTTGACCCTTATTATACTTCGGAACTCTTTTTATTTAGTGGGTTTGTACTGTCGAATGTGGAACATTTTTGTTTTAAGAGCAATTACGATTGTGATCCCGTGGACTAGAGATAGGGTGTAGGGTGAGAATGGATCTAGGTCCTAGTAGATTAGCATGATGTTCACTACTGTAATAACCATTATTAGTTTGCGTGTTTAAAAGTTGATTACGCTTGCGCTCACCATCATTCTTGCTATTTAGAGAGGTTGGGGTAGGCTACATTATATCAAAGAGGTTAGTTTGTTCACTGCTGCTGTCAGAGTCGTCTAGTAGCTTGGTTGGGCCGTACCTATTCCCTGCCCTTCTTTTATGGTTTGAAGAGTTTAGTGGTATCTCAGAAGTGTTCTATGAGATGAATTCATCTTAATTCAGGTCATCTTGTTCAACACCATTAGGAGAACCAATACTTATTTGATTCAGTTTAATTGGTTTTTTATCGTCATATGGCTTTTATTCCAATTCCTTGCTACGAGAACAACCTAGATTAGAATTATAAATGTTTTTTTCCGGTGTCAGTTGG